AACGAATAAATACATATATATATATATATATATATATTTGTGTATATATATATATAAGCATACATTCATCTGCGTACCCTACACCCTCTTGAGTCTCGCGTTGCTTCCGGCAGGATCTTCGAAATCGCCTGGAGCCCTTCGCAGCTTGGCGCTTTTTCTTCAGCAGGCCCTTTCTACAAAAGGTGTGAGTTTCCGAAAATTAGGGTACCCTATTCTGGGGTCCTTATAATAAGGATCCTACGATTTAGGGTGCTATATTAGGGTCCCCTCTTTTCTGAAACCCCCAGGTGACCTGAGATGTGCAAACAACATCAGCCAAGGAAGGTCGCTACGTTCTGGTGCAGCCTTCTTGTTTTGTCTTTTGATGCAGCAACTTGATTTGAAGAAACCTGGCTAATATAGGGGCTTAACATAATTACCTATACTATTTTGGGGGTTCCTTATTATAATAATAGTATAATATACCCCAAAACCCTGTTCTAATCATCAAGGCCCCGACATTAGATGCCCCGCATCGTGGGGTTTATGTATAAGAGCCGTTTAATGCATCGGGGGTTCCTCATCCAAGAGTTTTTCCGTGGGGCTTAGAAGGGCGTTTTTCGGCTTCATGGGGTGTCTGTTTGGGATGTTGGGTCCAGATACCACAAGGTAGCCGCTACGATCTAGGGTGCTGACTGTTTAGGGTCCAGAGTGGAGCATCTTTGCGTTTGCCCTTTCCTTCGGTGCAGGCGCTTCCCAGGGACCTCGGCTTTTTTGCTCAAGCAAAGGTCCCCGGTGAGCTCAAGCCTCGAGCGAAATGGAGTAGTTTCGTTGCACACTTAAGGGTTTCAAGCGGGGCTTCGGAAGAGTTTCGTTACCCCTTGAATTAACGAGTCTATAGCTCAAGTGATCAGGGTTTCCAGGAACAGACACGGCGCCAGGTGCGCGACTTCTCGCATTCTTTCGCAGAGGCGCCTGAGCTCAATCTTTTGCGCGCACATGGGTAGTTCTCTACATTAGGGTGGTTTTTTAGGTCCCAAATATAGTGCGGCATCCTTATAAAAAGGACCCAAAAAGGGACCCTAATTTAGAGAAATACCCACATATTGCGACATAGCTTGAAGTTCAGTCCGATGTACAGAGTCTTCGTTCTTGCTCCCTATTGGAAACCCGAAGCGCGAGGCAAAGGAGCAGAACCACCCCGAACAGCCCAACGACGAACGCGCCATCCTTCCGATTTTTTTGAGTCCCTATTTTTGGGGTTCCTTTTTGTAGTTACTCGTATAGCATACTGGGCCCTTACACCCTGGGTTTGGGGCCATGTTGCAGCCGAATCAGCTGTCGTCGGAAGTTCGCCAAAGTGGCAAAAGACGGGGACTCCGGCAACCTGGAGTCTAGAGAGGGGACTCCTTGAAGGACCTATTCCCCCGACAGCTACATACTTATATTATTTAGGTTGATACATACAACATAAATATTTATATTATAATATACTATGTATATATATATATATATATGTATCACAATCTACCCGGATCTGGCCACTTTTTTGTTGATGGTTTATCCCCTCAACTATGAGCAGAAGCCTCTAGAATCCAGAATTTTACGGTATATTCAGTGCCAGCGCGGCGAAGGTTTACAAACGCGGAGATCAGACACCGGCTGTTGCCACGCACGGAACCCAGAAGAGCAAGGTAGTTCTGTAGCTTATGCGTTTGGCGTCTAAGGTCTTAGGGCTTGGGTTTAGGGCTTTACGTACAGGGTGAGGGGTTTTATTGGGAGGAGTAAGGCGGAGACCCCTGCTTCACGTACCCTCCTTGTTTCAGGATGTAATTTGAGGATCCTTCCCATGTGTCTTTTGGGTAGAAATCTGCATACGCTTTGCATGCTCAGTGCTACTTAGAAGGCTGAAGACTGGGCCGTCCAGTGCAGTATAGGCATAAATTAGATCCTCTTTGCTTCAGGGGTGAAATTTTCGGATCCCTATCATATTACACAACAGGTACTACCTCTACGAAGACAAAAGCTCTCGGGCGGAAGGAGGAAGGTCCAGTCACGAAGATGCTGTTGAGACAGATCCCAAACCTCAAGCCCTAAACCCTGAATCCCAACCACTAAAGTCTGGAACTAAACCCGAAGCCCGCCAGGTTTATCTACGTGGATGCAAACCACGCAGAGGAAGCGGCAGGGGGCCTAAGGTCCTTCCGAGCTTCAGCTCATCCAACACAGCGTGATGTAGGAGCCTAAATTTAGGAACCAAAAAAGGGCATAAGCATAAGCATTTCATAGGGATATCCCTACCTTATTGGGCTTCATTATAAGGGCATTTATATGGGATATCCCTATCCTGATTTTTGCTTGTGTGCTTTTTGGGAGCCTAAATGATAACCTACACTATATTGGCTCCTTGTTATAATCGCAGTATATCGGGCCCCAAAACCCTATTCTAATTATTGAGGCCCTTATGGTATCTTCAGAGTCCAGGACCCCCCAGAACGTACTCCTGCAGGGCAACAGCTGAGACACTATCGCTGCAGTCCGAATCTAAAGATCTATAGTTTCCTCTCTCTTGCTAGGTAACAGGGGCTGAAGCCTCAGAAAAAAGCCCCCAGCTCCCTCTGAAGCCTTCAAGCCAGATTCTAAAGCCCTCGAGCCACAAGTCGTCAAAAACCGGAAGCCACCTTGAACTGCCCTTCTGCAGATCCACGGAACAATTTGTTTCGGAGCCGGCCGTGAACCCCGGCCTTGCACCCCAACATCTTTGCCCTAAGCACAACAGCCCCTTACCAAACGGAAGACCCCTAAACCCTAAACCCTAAACCCTAAACCGTAAACCCTAAACCCTAAACCCTAAACCCTAAACCCTAAACCCTAAACAAACCTCACAGCCGCAAGCCCAGCGGCCCCAACAAGGCCTCAACTTGAAAGTCTCAAGCCCCGAAAGCTCCCAAAGCCCCCAAAGCTCCTACACCCCAAAAGCCCCAAATCCGAAACTCCGAAGCTCCCAAGCCCCTAAAGCCCCTGGGTTTAGGGTTTAGGGTTTAGGGTTTAGGGTTTAGGGTTTAGGGTTTGAACCCTAAACCCCTAAAGCCCCCAAAATCCTCGAAACCCTAGACCCTAAAGCCCCCAAACCCTAAACCCTAAAGCCCCAAAATCCGAAACTCTGAAGCCCCTAAGCCCCCAAAGCCCTAAACCCTAAACCCCTAAAACCCTTAAGCCCCAAAATCCGAAAACTCTGAAGCCCCGAAACCCTAAACCCCTAAAGCCCCAAAATCCGAAACTCAGCCCTATAAACCCTAAAACCCCAAAATCCGAAAGTCTCAAGCCCCTAAAACCCTATAAACCCTATAAACCCTAAAACCCCAAAATCCAAAAACTCTAAAGCCCCTGAAACCCCTAAAGCCCCAAACTCAGAAAACTCTAGAGCCCCAAATCCGACCCTAAACCCTAAACCCTAAACCTTAAACCCTAAACCCTATACCCTAAACCCAAGGTCTCCAGGGACCTGGAGCTCTGGTGGCCGATCCTCGCCTCAGGAGGGCTCCTGGGAGGCCCAGGGGTTTAGGGTTTAGGGTTTAGGGATTAGGGTTTAGGGTTTAGGGTTTAGGGTTTAGGGTTCAGGGTTTAGGGTTTAGAGAGCAGTTTAGGCTTTTTTTTCTCCATAATTAGGGGGTTTAAGGGGTTTAGCAATTTTGGGATGTTAGGCGGCTTTTGTGGGTTTTTTTTAGGGGTTTAGGGGGTAACTAGTGCTCGACTTTTTCTTTTTTAGGGGTTTGGGGGTTTAGTAATTTAGGGATATGGGGGTTTGGGGTCCAGGGGAGAGTGCAGTGCGGTGCAGCGTTAGGCGAAATTGTTGTTTTAGGGGTTTTGGAGTTTTAGGAGTTTAGTAATTTAGGGATGAGGGTTTGGGGTTTGGGTTTAGGGGTTTAGTAATTAACGGATTAGGCGTTTGCGGTTTAGGGTTTTAGGGGTTTAGTAATTTAGGGGGTTAGGTTTAGAGTTTAGGACCCTTTTGCAAGCATAGTATGGTGCAGTAAAGTGCGCATGCAGTCTAGCGCAGTCCAGCCCCCTAGAGTACAGTACGTCGCAATAGAGTAGGGTCGGGTACTTACAGGATCATGGGACTTAGTAACTAAGGTTATTATTAAGGTAACATACTTATAACTACTTATAACCCCAATTAAGGTACTTATAACCATACTTACTAAGACCCATGATCCTCCAAGTATGGGAATCAAAGGAGTCTTTCAGTCTTTGTAAGAGTTTAAGGGTTTAGGGTTTAGGGTTTAGGGTTTAGGGTTTAAGGTTTAGGGTTTGGGGTTTAGGGTTTAGGGTTTAAGGTTTAGGGTTTAGGGGGTGAGACTAGGATGGAGGCTTTCAACTCAGGGTCTTGGCCAGGGTTTTAGGGTTTGGGCATGGGCAAAGTTTAAAACAATAAACACATGAGCAGATAAATCAATAGACCAACTAGTATAGACACAACCACGTGAGCAAAAGCAGACACCTAAGTAAACGTGCATCTGAACATTAATATAAGATGGTTGCATTTGTGTCAATGCGTGTGTGTATATCCCTTTTCATATGTGTACAGTTATGCATTTAACGTGTATATAAGTATATACATATGCGCATCCTACATGCACGTACGTGCACATGTTGCATATATTTGTGTGCATTCAAAATGTGAAGGCGTGCAGTTGGATCATGAGGTTTAGCAGGACTCTCGAGAAGAGCATGCTGTCTGCCATTGCCAGGTAGCACCTACATGGATGACCCAGGCAGACACATCCAAGCACGGGGCCTCAGACGTTTGCATGGTTGCCGCATCTGTGGGTTGTGGTTGGAGCCTGTCGCTGGAAGGGGATAGTCTAGGTATATACGTATATATATATATATATATATATATAGAGTATAGTATACTGTATTCTAATATACTAGAGTTAGTATCTTATAGTATAGTCTATGCTACTATGTACTTCTAGCTGTCCAGCAAATGCACGCCACGGAAGGCACAGTGACGTGCGTGCTTTCAGGTACGAAGCGCTGTGGACAAGTTTGCTGCCCGGCAGCAGCTGCAGGCACGTTTGCTCATCTTGTGCTGCTCATGGTTCAATCTGGGACTTAGTAATTGGGGTTATAATTAGGGTAACTATACTTATAACCCCAATTGAGGGACTTATAACCTTACTTACTAAGTCCCATGATCCTCCAAGTAGGTTGGGGGTTTAGGCTGGTTAAATCGCCCTTTGGTACATTCCAATAGCAGTTCATTCTTTCTGGAGTTCATGTGCGAGGCTCCACCGAAAGCACCCTCGTGCGAATTGTTTTTACGCCGTAAGTTCAGGCCTGTGCATTGCAAGCAGCAGTTCCACCGGCAGACGCAGCCAGCAGGTCATCACCACCACGGATGACATGCCAGCATCGTGGTTCATTGTGAAGCCGTGAGAACTTGCCCGCTCACTAGGTTCTATATCACCATAAATCTATGGTTTACTTGGTATGCACATAGATATCTACGTCTCTGTCTGGAGGTATGGATATCAGCCACCCCGTCTTGGCCTGATAGTTTGCATAAGGTGGTAGTACAAAACTACTAGTTAATTACTATTAGTTACACATCAACATCTGCACCGGGGCATTCCAAGCTTTGTGGTTGTTTGTCCCCCTTTGTCTCGCTGCATCTGTGTAAAGAAACAGCACCAATGCTTGCATAATGCGATATCCCAATTCCTCGGCGTGAGTATTCGAGGGAGTTGCTTGGAAAGGTTTCACTTTATCTCCAGTGCAGACAGCAACGTGCTACGTGCCGGAGAAAGGGCGCAGCTTGCTCCTTACGTGCCCCGGTGTACCCTGGACCGAAGCCTACAGGGGCCCGTGTCTCCCTATGTCGCACTTTTGTCCCGGCAGCCCATGTGTCGAGTTAGAAGACATGTGCATATCGCCGACAATTCTATGAGGTGCCTACTGTACTGACTCGGGCATTCTCGCCCCTAAAACCTTAGACCCGAAGGCTTTCAGTCTTCAGCCAGAAACTGGAACCCCATGTGTGGAGCTGCCCCCGGCCAGAAAGCTTCTAGCACAGCCAGTCAGAGCCTTGGAAACCACTTCAAGTTCTGCATCGCTTCGGTAGCATGAGGAACGAATGATCGAGCTTTGACCCTTTTGGAGCTTGAGCGCGTGGGCGGACAAGCGTATATAAGACGGACTGTTCATGATCGCGAGTCGCGAGAGTAAGCACAACCGAGATAGCTTCAATCGAACATGTCGTTGGTATTTCCTCGGCGTTTGTTCACAGCCGGGGGTTTGAATTTGCATCATGTTATCCGTGTCAGTGTTGTGTGCGACATGTGAGTGTAAACTCCTTCAAAATATGTGTGAGTGTGTATGTGTGGGGCATGATGATTATGAAGGAAGCGCTTGTGGAGCGCGTTTGGTCGAAGTGACGAAATTAAATCCGAGATGTTTTGTTGTTATGTTGTCGCAGGAAAAACCGGCGGCGGGCTTTGCGATCGCTTAGGACTAATGATGTGTGTGTGTGTGTGTGGCACGCCATGCTGGAGTTCAGTCGGGTTTCTGCTTGGGTTCCGATTTAGGGTTCCGACTCTCATTCCTATTCCATTGTTGCTGCGGCCCCATGCTGGCCGGCATGACTGCAGCTCGGCAGATTGGATAATGGTTGGGTAACTGTTTTACACGGTTTAAGCTACTTTCAAGTTGGAAAGATGGCAGGAGCCGCCGAATCGGGATTGAGGAGAAGAACCGAGGCGGCGAAGCATGGCAAGAAGATGAAAGAAGACCCGTCAGTAGTTGTTTATGTGCAGCATACCGTTCTTGCTTGGTCCATGTGAAGTTCATGTGAAGTTTCATGCCAGAGAAGCCAATGTGCCCGGGCAAGGCTGTTCAAGTTGACACAGGCTTGCCACGGAAGCGCCCGGACATCGCACGTGAAGTTGGGCAGTTGTTGCCAAGATTGCAACACATCAGCGTGTAGATCCGAAGATCTGTTTCAGGGACGTGAAGCCAGAGAATGTGCTGGTGGCAAGAGGCTTAACGAAGTTTTGCGATTTCGGAATTGCGAAGCAAATCAGCATCTTGCCTTGGAGTGTTTCAGTAAGCTTCGGTAAATCCATTGGGCCTGACCCCTTGTTCCAACTTGCTTGGCAGGGCTCATGTTCTGAGGCACGTTCACCTTCAGAATTTGCGGCACCCCCCGGTACATGGCTCCAGGAATGTGCGGATCACCGCGGGATACAACGTCCTGGTTGACTACCTCACTCTGGGCGTGATGATGAAATCCTTGCTTCAAGGCTTCAGCCTGAAGCATTGGACATAAGTCAACATAAGGCTGACATAAGGTTTTGCGGCCATGAAAGATGCAGATGTGCATTGCCCCTTTCTGTGGCGGCATTAACGGTAATGGCTCAGTTCACGGCAGACTGGAAGGATGTGGCTGCGTCAATCTTGCGCAGCTGCCCAACGACGCGGGGTTGCCATTCGAAGGTCCGGAGATTGGGTCCAAGACATGGTCAGTTTTTGGACATGCGCAGCCACTGAGCCTGACACCGCACCGGACCCCCTGCTGCTTCAGCACACGCAAAACTCCCGTCATGCATTGAAGCCCTTTTCCTTGTGGGGACAGCTCGGGGAAGGATTTGCTTTTCAGGCTGTCCAGTCGAAGCTGGTCTACCAGAAGGCTGACTAGGCCAACAAGCCGGCGCAGCAGTGGCCGCGCACTTAAACTAGCAGCTTATGTATTTCTTGAGTCCATGTGCAACCGTGACGCATTCTTGATCAAAGGCCGGCATTCTCGTGCACGGTCAAAGCCGTCTGTGGCTACGACTACGGCGAGTTCTTGGCCAAACCAATGCGTGGTCACGAGCGGCCGAGATTTCACCAAGGGCGACGTGGCCGTGCCTCGGATAGGCATTTTCTTGTTTTGGGCTGTCGTGTGGTGTGTTTATAAACCTTTGGCTTTTTTGATTCAGGTTTGGCGGTATCTGTGTCACAGCCCACGCGATGTTTGCATCCTGGAGGCTGTGGTCCCAAACAAGGACTGGAAATTGACATGACTGCAGGAACTACTGTGAATGCTTGCTTGTGGATGCTGAGCAATTCTTGCGTGGACGGTCTGTGCTGCCTCGTGCAGTGTGTAGATGTGGTTCTGCGCCTAATTGTGTTCTTGTTTCTCTAGCATAACGAACATAACCAGAATTGGGCGAATCATGTTTGTTTTCGTCTTTCGGGACAGAGGGCCGTGCACAATATAAAGATACCGTCCAATTGAGCTCAAGTTTCCGGACGATAAACCGCAGACGCATGTTGTCGTGTTCGTCGGAACATAAAAAAAAATCTGTGGCCAGGACATGGGGCCCTTTGAGGAGAAATGCGTGATTTTGTCTCAGGAGGGATTCATGAACACGCTCCTGGCTGGCGGTGACTTCGCAGGGTCTGGTAACAAGGTGCAGGGTGTTGGATTTAGAGGCATGTTGTGAGGCATTGCAAGTGGGGGGTGTCAGGCGACGTGGATGGCGACGAGAATTGCATCACCACGCAGCCGGAGTTGGTGGAGTTCTTGCGCTTCACGAAGCCCTGGGTGGATAAGCGCAATTGGAAGGACCTGTGGTTGCAGCTGTTTCGTGATGTGGTTGATCTAGCCTCGTGACATACGTCCATGGAACCACGAGCATGAAGCTTTTGTGGCGGTCGGAAGGACATTGAACGCCAGGCACTTCATGGTTTGGAGGACTTCAAGACTCAGACCATGTGGCCGTCAGGCGTCGACCGCAGTGTCTTGGCGGCAAACCTTTCGTGGTTAAGCCTTTGTCTCATAGCACTCTGGCAACAACTCGGCCTGCTCATCTGCTCGTCGAGGCTTGGCGTTTAAGCGATTCTCCCTGGGCCTGGACACTCCGCCGCGTGCCCGCGGTCTGGTCTCGAACATGAGCTTCCGGGCCGTGGCTTATGCGCTGCAGCAGCCTTCGACGTTAGCGCGCTGTGCGGTACGAACGCGAAAGCCATAGAGAGGTGTGTCGCTGTGCCCGCACGGAGCGGTGTGCTGTGTTTGGAAGTGTGTTGATGCCCAGTATCCCTGTGCGGGCTGGCCAGGCTGAAGTATGCAAACGCATGGGGCTGCCCGCGACTTCTTTCGGGAAGGTGTGGTTCCTGCAGGACAAGGGGCGACTTTACACCAGCTGGGGGGACTTAAACCTAGCGGGGGTAGCTTCTCCAACATTCAAAGTTGTCCGCTTTTCTAGTCGAGCCGCTACACTTTCTGATAGAGGCCAAGGGCCTTTCTGGTTCAGGCCTCCCTATCTTGAGTCTCGGATCAAGCGCAAGCACCGCCCGGTTTTCTCTCCATCTCTCTTTCTGGTCCTTCATTGCCTCGAGCTCAGAAGACACTGCAAGCAGCACCACGAACCCAACATAACCCGCCATGTTGAATTCTCGAGCAAAGCCGTCCTTGATCGCATAAGGCCATGACCAACCTGCGCGTACGGTCAGGAAACTGCAGCTGGCACGATATCACTGAGGAAGACACATGCACGTCGCGGAACTGTTGTGCCTGAAAACAAGCCTACCTACCGTTATAGGAGAGCACGCGCGTCCGCGATGATTACATCACACGATTCTGTAGCCTCAAGCTCAAAACGCCAGCGGAGAGCTTAGGGGACGATGCTTGATATGTTGTTGCAGACATGCGCTCGTAATCTACTGCTCCGGGCTTCTGCTTTAGGTCGGATTCGTCATCGTGGACAATGTGCAACCCTCAGATTATCTCGGCCTAAGGCTTCTGCTTCCACAGTCCTTGCACATGAAATCTAGACGTGACGTAAGACTGGAAAAAAACGGATGACGGCGTGAAGGCCCAGCCGTAGGAAGAGCAGCGAGCTTTCCAGACCTGCGGCTGTCTCCGCTCTAATGTTTTTAGTGCACTCACTCAGGTGCCGGAGAAGCTTAAGCCTAGGCAGCGGCAGGTGCGGGTTTGAACATGTGCTCGCTGGGGTCGCCCAAGCTTGCAAGTGGCCCCTCACGACGAGATTTTTCAGATTAGTGCATGACGCAGGCTCTGGCAAAGAAGAAGCAGAAGCATGCCACCCCTCAGACGCAGGACTCAACTTAAAACCTGTTCTTCAGTGCCCAGCTCGCTTCATGCTTCTTGCCACTGTAATTAGAGGACCGGAAGGATGAGCGTCTGTTGGACGAAGCTGTCAAGGTAGGTGCATGCCTTTTGTTGGAGCTTGTGCAACCTCAGCGAAATCTGTTCCTGCAATGTACCGCGTCACCGCTGTATGCCACATGTCTAGAGCTGTGTCCAGGAAGCAAGTTTTGCCGCGACCCGTTCCCTACTCAGCCGGGGCATTCGTCGTTCTTGGTTACAACTACACGCGCCCGTTACTGCGACCAGCACGAACCAAGCTATATACAAGTCACAGCGTTTTAATCTTCTTTCTGTTCTTCGTCCAGACCAGACCTCCCAGCCTCAGTCAAGGTCTACATGCGGATCGCGGGCTGTATGTGAACACTCAATGGTGTCTGACGCTCAGGTTGCCTTGAGACACTGTGTTGCGCTGATGTAGCCGACCAGGTACACGTGAATCCAGGGTACCACCAACAACATACAGACTGCGCAAAACTACACCAAGGGCTGCACTCCTTGATTTCGGTTTCCATGATTCCATGACACTTGCATTTCCTCGCGTCCAGACACTACAGAAAAAATGCACGGACAGAAGCGGTATAAACTAGCGAACACCTCTCCTAAGTCGAACTTGTTGCACATGTCGAAGACGTCTCGGATGTTTTCCTGCAGGTGACCGCTTCCAATGGGGCCGTGCCACGAAATCCTTCCGGAGACACCTCGTCCGATCGAGGCAGGCGACGCCGTGCATGTGCAGTATATGTGTATAGAAAAAAAAATATATATATATATATATATACACTTCTCACTTCCCGTTAAGTAATGTTCCTCTTCGCGATTGTCCGCAGGCTGGACGACATCAAGTTCTGCAGCAAAGCCGGCTTGCATGTGCTTGCCACTCCCACTGCTCCAAGTGTCAACTCGCCGGTGCGATCGCGCAGTCCTCACATCCATGATTGCAACGTCCCATGCGGCGACCCTCCGTGTCCTTCTGTGTCATTGCCCACTTCAGTCTTGGGCTTGTTACAAGCGTTGCAGTATGAAGTTCGAGACAACCCCGTGACCAGCCATTGCTGGTGGCACGCAAGCAGTTGCCACACGGGCCTCCCAGCAGATGTGGCCATGCTGCAAGCTCTGAAATATTGCAGCGCATATGGGAATTCGGCGCAGGCCTGTTTAAAACTCATCAGGCCAGCCACCTCCGTGAGCGAGATAGGGCTAGCAGTTTCCGGCCTGGGCCGATTTTATTCCCATGGGCTGCTGGTTTTGCACGCGCCAGCTTCCTGCGCATACCTCTTTCGGCCCCAGCGCAGCCCGTGCTGCATGAACTTGGCATCGGCGTATCAGGTCCTGTCGCACCGACCGCGGGTGCACGTCATGCTGTTCACACAGGACCATGGCGCCACTGTAGGTCACTACGCCGCATGCCTTGAGCGCACGCATGAGTCCTCAGCGACGGCAGTGCTTCCCCAGCATGTGGCTCCTTCCTCCCATGCTTCGACTCCAGCTATGTTTGGAGGCATGTTGTCCGCAAAGTCAGCATCCCGATCACGCAGTCCTCCCGAGCATCGCTTTTGAAGCCCCACATCCATCTGTAGTACGGATGCTTGTGCTGCGGCACGCCCCGTCGTGCCGGATATTGCCACGCCACAAGTGTATCTCTCCGACCCGTCTGTTCAACCTTGGGCAATGAGTCGATCGCCATATTCGCCCAGGGATTCTCCCCATCCAAGCCCTCCAAGTCTCCCACTGGCACAGACGTTGCCCAGCCCGCCACCTTGCTCAGCAGAGACTCTGGCCACTGTCCTCGACTCACCTACTAGCTGTGGTCTTGTAACTGACACACCGCCCACGCAACACGTGCAACGCACGCAGCGGTCGGAAATCTCCCGACCCGCAGCAAGTCCAAATCTGCTTTCAAGTTCATTTTTGGCCGATGCGCTTCCAAACTCTTTTGAAGAAGCCTGCGCATGGCATTTGCAGCCAGACTGGTCTTGCCTGGAAGATCACACTGCTGCCGGCGGAGATGCCGACCTGTCGCCTGTCACCGCACAAGATCTTGTCGATTGGACCTGGGGCGAGTAGATGGCAATCTCGCGGACAACAGCCTCCAACTGGGCAGGCCGGGGCTAGGCCCGCAATTCCCCGTTCCCACGACGCATTGCACAGGCGTGCCTCTGACGTGCCCTGGCACGGGTCTTGCGAATTGCGTGCCCGTGCCGAACACAGCTTTCGGTTACTTTCCTGTGCGACTCGTGGAAGAGCTCATGCTGGCCCTGCTGCAGCCGAGCCACCTACAAATCCGGCTTTGTTTGCCACGCGCGTCTATCAAATCCAGACACTGTCGCCAATGCCCGTAACATATCGCGTGGCGAAGGCAGCTGCGAGAGAGTGCGTGCACAGTCTCACCTCTGCCCTGCAGCTTGCTGCGAACCTCCAAATGTTGTCTACCGATGGCATGGAGCCAAGCCGCTCCCCCACAATCGCAGGCACTGCCACATCTTGTCCACGTGTTCATATGAATGGTGGCACTCGCTCAACCCGGGCATCCACTGCACCGGCTCAGGTTCCGGAGGCGGGCTCGGCGCCCAGCCCTGTCGCTGATGATGTGCCAGACGAGGCTGTGTTGGAAATTCCAGTTCGACCCCGACCCAGTTGCGCACCGCGCACCGCGCCGCCGCAGACTCCAGCAGCATTGCCGGCTGCTCAGTCGTCTCCGCAGTCGCATTTCTGTTCCATCCCAGCTCCAAGCAATCCTGATTTAATTTTTTTTGATCCGTAACCCCTAGATTTTTCCCAGGCTTTGTTGCAAACCTACTGCGTTAATTTTTTTTGATCCTGGTTTTAATTTTTTTTTTGATTTTTGTGGTTTATTTTTTTTTTGATCCTGATTTAATTTTTTCTTGATCCCTCGCCCCAGGACAAGAGAGACTTCGTGGTGGGAAGACCATGTGACGTGGGGCTGCCAGGGGTGTGTTAGGGGAGATTTGGTTCCCACAGGACAAGATTGTTCTGGGGGTCGAGTGTGCCGAGCACATTCTGGACATTCTGCATCATAAGAGGCGGAGCCGGTGTGCGTGAACACACCAAGAACACTCTGGGCATTTGCTGTCCGGGACTATAGTCGTCTATTCAGGACAGTGGATCACTGCGTGGGTGAATGAATGAGTGAGGTAGGTGGGTAGGTGAGGTGTGCGACTGACTGAATGAATGCGTGATGTAGGTTCCGATCAGGGGTCCGATTAAGGTTCCGACCAGGGTTCTTATTCGGGTTCCGTTTAGGGTTCCGATTAAGGTTCCCGTTTTTTATGGCTCCGATCAGTTTCTAGTGAAAGCTTTGGGCTTAGGAATGCTTAGGAGGAGTCAATGTGCGGTGATAATTATCTAACCGTAATATGCTCGTAATGTGCCACAACACTCCGAAAGAGGGGAAGGAAATATTGCAGAGCAAAAGCAATTAAACCCACAATGGGTGCTGTGATCATCAAAGGATGCATTATGACTGCTGTGATGCAGTTCGGGCCCTTTGAGTTTTCGAGAAGCCTTGGGGTCCACGTTGGGCAATGGCTTCCGCGTCTGTTCGGCAGCATATGGATCAGTGTGCAATGGTGATTAAGTGCTTAAGGATTCGTGGCACGAAGCAAGAGCACCACCCTATTCTGACCCTGACATCGTGCAACCCCGCTAGTGGTCATGGACGGTCGTAGTGATGTCTTAAAGAGCTGCATCCAGGCCTCGGAAAGCACCGAAAATTCAGACCTAAAGCACAAACAAAAGACCACGCTAGACCAACAAGGCCGATGGAAATACTTGGTTTTGGTACACATAGTAATAGTATATGCCGTGCGCAGCCACTGGCTCAGATCACCGGGATTTCGGACCTACCTACGTTGGTCGACGCCCCTGAAACGCACGGTTTTGAAATAGACTGATTATATCTGATTATTCATCGGGAAGTGAGGGCTCGGTTTTGTGAGGTGGCATGCACAACTGACGTTGACTTCAGGATCTCCCCCCCAACAAAAGCACAGCTTGGAAGCACATGGACAGGTAGACGTAATCACCCACACCACTCCAACATGAGAATGTGAATCAGGGCATTCGTGCTCGATGTAACGGCCTTTTCGTTGGACCCCCACATCCGTCGGCAATGACAGACGGCGGAGGCACGACGGTCCATTTTGCTGTGTGATCGACGATGTTGGTTCTGCTTGTCATGTGACTGGAACTGGACCAACCTTACGGGCAACCCGGGTATAGCCGCCAAGATGACCGGTGTCTTTCTTTGTATCGCTCCTTTTCTTTCTGCTGACAACCTTCGGCTCGAGCGTCCTCCGCACCCCGCACTGCGCTGAGCCAGGCCCAGAAAGGGTTCCAGACCTTGAACCAGATGCCCGCAGCTATCGAAGACGTCTTCCGATGTCTTGAATTGTTAAGCCATTAGTAAATTAGGCACCAACAGCTTGGAAGACGGTGATCAGTGAACGACTGGGTTCGCAACGCTGCCAGCATTGCATCTTCCTCCGTGCGCCAGTTTCGACCAATAGCCATTCGGGCCCAAACGTCCAAAACGCACCGCCGAAGTCCTAGCCCCTTCCGCCCTCCCTCGGAACAATGGTTGCTGCACGAGGCAGGCACCGGTCTTGGGGTAGTACTGTGCAGATCACGGAGTCCAAGCTTGCAGGATGATGCTTTCGGAAAGATTAGAAGGGTTGATAAAAAGCAGGTCCCGATTGACCTCTGCACTCGATGGGTTTGTGTTTTTGAATTGCCCGCACCACCTTGCCGTGGAGCTTGCGGCATGCAGACTGCAAGCCTAGTTTCGTGCTGTGATCCTGCCTCGCCTGCAGCATCGGAACCGGCGAGATCCGGCCCAAAACTAGACGAGGTTCACTAAACGCATCGTGCTTCTCGTTGAGGCGGAGTCTTTGCCCGTTACGAGTCGTTCAGGTAAAGTTTATTCGCAACCCTGACCAGCTTGGAAGCCCCGAAACACCTATATGCTGAACCCTAAGCCTTCACCTCAACACCTCTTGTAAGACCCGCGCTCAAGTGAAGATGCAAGAAACTCAGAGTCAGAGGCCGCACTGCCCGCGCTGCCCTGCTGGCTCTGCTCATCGTGCCTCAGCTCGGTTGAGAGGTTAGTTGCTGAATTTGTGTTTCGATGCTCTCGTGTTTGCGTGGTCAGGTAAATCTTCAGGCTTGCTCTAGAAGTTTTAGAATGTGTATAGTTTTTGGGCGGGGAGACGGTTGCAGGTCGGATGTTCGCTCGCCCAAGCCCGCTGTCGTCATGGATGTTATCTTGCGTCTAGACCCTGGACCCTGAACCGTTCTGACGCCTGTTCTAACAGACTTGATTGTCCCGTAGCTGCCGCACCATACCCACAAGACCCCAAGGCCCCTAAACCCGACATTCCAAGAGCCCTGTAAGCCCCAAGAGCCCCAAGAACCTAAACCCCTAAACCCCAAACTTCACTAAACCCGAATAAACTCTAATAAGGTCCCAACAACCCAAGAAGCTGAGAAGCCCTAAACCCCAAAACAGGACCAAGAGCCGCAAGAACTTAACCCCCGAGGCCCTAAAGCCCCCTAAGAGCCCTCAACCCCCTGAGGTGCCCCTAAACCCCCAGACCCTAAACCCGAATAAACCCTAATAAACCCGAATAAACCCAAATAAGCCCGAATAAACCCTAGTAAACCCCGACAGAACCCTGAGCCCTCCCTTGAAAAGGCCCCCTATAAGAGCCCCCAAAAAGCCCTAAACCCTAAACCCTAAACCCCTAAACCCCCAAAGGGCCCTAGGTGCCCGCCACGCTTTGCTTCACTGGCCTGGCTCCGGTGACCAGCGAAAGCCGCACGGCCAGAGCTGCGGAGGCACCGGGGGGCCGGTGCCGGGGCCGGGACTTTTTTTTTACGAAGTATAAGGCACACACAAGCTTATTATACTTATAGTTATACTATCCTTTAATATTACTATACTGCAGTATCTGTGTATGTATATATACACATATATATGTATTTGTATTTGTATACATATATGTATATGGTATACCATGCCACAACACGATGTAACAGAATGTGTTTTGGGTTCCTGGTTGGGCGGTCCGGACCTGGGAAAGCACTTCTCACATTCCCGGGGCTATTCATACTGATGCTTTCAGGTTGGGTCCAAGGGCTTATAGATTAGGCTTCAGGTAGGGCTTTAGTTGTCGGGTTCTGCGGTCTTACTTGGGTTTCCGAGGTGCCCCGGTGTAAGTCCAAAAATGGGCTCGAGTTTAGGCTATCTAGTGCGAGATGGTAGCATACAGCCGCCTTTACTTATCTGCAACTGCTTCAGAAAGCGTTGTAGGACAGCAGGGTTGTAGTAGAGTTCTAGAGAAGTTTTACAAGGGTCCTTGCTTGGCGTTTGTTTTGTGCGTCTGCCTTGCAGCTCTGACAGGTTGTGTAAAGAGTATTGTGACTCGTTTTGATGTTGCCGTCTGACATCCTGCTACAAGAATCCTCCTGAAAGCCCTTTCATTTGAGGGAAGAGATGTCCAAAACTCGGCAATAATCCTAAACCCTAAACCCTAAACCCTAAACCCCTAAACCCTAAACCCTTAAACCCAAATAAAGCCCATGGAGGGAAGGGGGATCCTCCAGCATTCCAGGCAGCCAGCGGCTCTTCTTCTGTCGCACTGGTGAAAGTGACCAAGGACTCCGAAATAGATACTCCTTAAGGCAGAACAAGAAGCCGACGAGCACTGACCTCTTTAGGTCTGCAAAACTGTGTTGCTGAGAAAGCGGCAGGCGCTTTGCTGCAGTGTTGTTTTTGACGGAACGATGACTTCTGAGACCTTCATGCCCGTTGAAGATTCCAAGATGGTGAAGGAGAACAGCATTGCCACCGCCGGCGTTTTGGGTGGAGTTGCCGGTCTCCTCTTGGGCGGCTTCTGGCCTTTTGACTGCGTTTATCTGATTTTCTACTTCTTGGAACTTGGGGCTGCGGGTGTAAAGTTCGCACTTTCAGTTTGACTTGGGATCGTCCTGTGCAGGCAGTACTACCAGACTCGAGCAATTCGGGTTGTTGAGTTTCGTTGCCATCCGCCCGAGAGTCGACCTTCAAGCTCTTAACCAGGTGTTTCCACAGGGTCAGGTCTGTTCGAAACAGCAATCATAACACCAAGAATTATACATGTATACAGCAGAAAAAATAACAGAAACAAAGGTCATAAATTCCCCGAGCTCGTTTAGGCGACGGGCCAGCCCTGGAATCAGACCCTTTCTTGCAGGGATCCGGCTCTCGAACATGCCCTCCCTCTCGGGGGGCCGCCACTGAACTCAGGTACCTGCATGGTCCCTGCGCGTAGCAGCTACTGTACCGTAGCAGACGAAGACCTCTCTGAATCTTCATCATTGTCTTCATTTCATAATATCGAGCTGTTACCTAGAACGAAACCCTAAACCCTAAACCCTAAACCCTAGAATGAAGCGGTCCCTTACACCCTAACCCCGAACCTCATTGAGAGGAGCCCCGAGTGCCCCGAGGATCGGCGCCGCAGGCTTCGTGGCAACCTCCTACTTGGCGAAGAAGGAGGGTTCCATAAAGAGCCGTCCTTTCGGGGCCCTCGAAGAGGTACTGTAAGGGCTCGCTGAGTGCTACACAAGGGATACATATATATATATATACATATATATATATATATGTATACACATGCAAACTTGATAAGGCTCATTCTGCTCCCTCTACCCTTCCGGAGCGAGCACCAGTTTTGCTTCTACCCTGGCCCTTGAGCCCAAACCCCCGAAAATCCCCAACGCCCTAGACACTAAAGCCTTACAAACCGTTGTTACGCTGCCCATGCAGGCGCGAAAAGCGGCCCGTCAAAAAGCCCTCTACACCCCTTAATATTAGAGAGCGCAAAAGGACCCATAAACCGCTTAGAGAGCCCAAGAGAACCTTTGGCAAAAGCTTGAAAGCAGCAGGAGGACTCCGACGTGGCCTCAGCACCTCGGATGAATGGCCAATTCCCGACACACTACCCCTTGGCAGCATGTAAGCCGAGGTGCTGAAAGGCGTTTCTGGTGCGTCCCTCGAGGCGATCAATTTTGTGGACTACCTGTCCCTTAGCTGCGTTAGGATGGTCCGTGATGGCCACGAGAAGCCGCAAGACTCGCAGAGCTCGAAGAAGAAGGCCTGGCCTCAACACACCAAGGAACTCGAAGTACGACGTCACCAGCAAGGTGGGCTCCGCATCTTGACGCTCAAGAGAAGCAAGGCATGATGTTGATAAGAGCCCGGATTGGGGTGTGTCGTTCCGAAGAGTTCGGTATAGGCGTCGTAAAGGTTGAGGGATTTGCGAACGGGGGATTCAGTAGTTTACATGTAGGATTGCCGGGTTCAAGTGACAGGCCAGCGATCGGCAGAGGTTTGTTTCTAAAGGTTAGCGATCAAGAACCTCGAGTGAACAAGTGCCGGTCAAGATCCCCACCTGCAGAACCTAGGTCGGAACCCCCAAGCCTGCAATCCTGAACCTGAAACCCTACAGGCCGTATAATCCTACAGGTCTAGCGACAAGGCTGATGTTCGAATTCGAAAATCAGACAATGCCCCTAGCCTCATGAGATTCTGTCGCTGAGGCTCTCAACGAGGCCTTGGAGAAGGGAGACAGTGAGACCACCTCTTCCGTGAAGGCCGNNCTCTTTGAATGTAAGACCTGAAAGCTCCGAATGCACCGACCAGAACCTGCATTTTTTGGTAGGGTTCCGGATTGAGTTCGATATTGGGGTTCACATGAGGAGCCTGCATGAAATCTGAAAAGTGGGTTCTACTAAGCTGCAGGATTTTCTTAACCTATCCCTGAGGCCTCGAACCCCTCGGCGTGTGATTCGGCGATCCTTTATTGGTCTGCCCCCAAACCCTAAACCCTAAA